CCTCAAGAAACAGGAGGATGTGGGGACAGAGGTCTTGCACTTCTTTTAGTCTCCATGGGAAACATCACCACATCTACCATTTGCCACAAAGGGCAGACGATGAGTATCAAGTGTCAATACGGGGGGGAGGGGGCGCGCGGGGGTAGAAAGAGGCAGCCAAGAAAGAAGAGGTGGCCAAATGCCTGTGGGGTCTGCCACAAAAAGAAAAGAAAGCATTTTACAAACCTGTTCACTACAAGCCCCACATTCATAACTGTTTCCAAATGGAAGGCTATGTGGAAAGCCAAAGCAAACATTCCCAATTCTTTTTGAACCTATCAGACTATATAGGAAAATATGTGCATTTTATGGTTTGGGGGCACAACCTTATAACTATGTTTTTGCATTGTCATGTCCAAGTCCTTTTATTCCCCCTCAAAAATTAATATTTCCTAAAGCAATACAGCTATTTATTTTGGGTGAACTTGAATTGAAGCACAATCTCCCTTTGCAAAACAACAAGGCACTGAGGAGTTAGAACATGACACCTAGGGGATTTCAGAGCACACTGCAGTGCAACCATAATCATTTTTCTGGTGCCTTTTCAACTGATTCAAGCTGTTGTCTTAGCAGTTCAATGCTAATTCTGTATGCTCATAGTTGGCACTCAGAAAAAACAGGAGTCAGAGAAGGGGGGCTGTAAAGAACAAAATTTACAGTGTCTGCCTCTTTATTAGAATTGTATTAAGCACAGTTCTGGTTTCATCATGCAAAACTGGTAAGTGTTCTGGCAAGAAATAATTTTGAACTTCCCTACTGTGAACCACAGCCTTTCAGGCACCAAGCTAAGGAAGACATCAATCAACTGTCTTCCCATTGACGTGCTAGATCAGCAACAAGCTCCTAAAGTGACAGGATACAAATGATATTTAAATTGGATTTTCATAGAGTCAGTGCATGTAAACCCAGGCGCCCATGGCAAAGGCATTAGGCTAGTGCCATCTTGTAGCTTTCAGATAACTTAAAGCAGCTGTGTAGGGAGTAACTATCCCAGCTCCAGTTCCTCCAGATTTCACAACCGGTCACAATCAACCCTGAATTTTCAATACCCCAACTTCAAAAAAAATGTAACATCTATAATCTGATAATTAGCAGAAGAACACTTTAGCACATACACACTTAAAAGGGAAGGAAGTAGGCATGGGATAGAGAGGGCTTCAGTAAACAATAGCATCTGTTCATCATTTCATAATAAAATAAGAATATTTTATGTATACATAACACTTTTCATCCTGAAGGAGCCAAAAAATGCTTTACAAACCATATACATAAAGCATTACTGACATGTAACCACCTCTGGGTTAATGGTGACAAATAGAGCTGGTTGGAAAAATTTCAACTATAAACTGTCAGACTACACAGTTCCATCAAAAACACAATGCTTTGTAAAACCCTGTGGATTTCCCCAGAAATTTTTGTCAGAAGAAAATTGGTGGGAAAGGATTCTGACAATGTCAAAATGTCCTGTTTCAACATTTTTTGAACTAAGCATTTTTTATTTTTCATTTTATTTTATATACTATATTATAATATAATCATGCTAATCTAGTCAGACCTCCTGCACATTGCAGGCCACAGAACCTCACCCACCCATTCCTGTAATAGACCCCTAACCTGTGGCTGAATTACTGAAGTCCTCAAATCATGATTTAAAGACTTCAAGTTATGGAGAATCTGCCATTTACACTAGTTTAAACCTGCAAGTGACCCTTGCCCCATACTGCAGAGGAAGGTGAAAAAAACCCAGGGTCTTGGCCAATTTGACCCAGGGGAAAATTCCTTCCAATCCCAAGTATGATGATCAGTTGAACCCTGAGCATGTGGGAAAGATCCACCAGCCAGACACCTGGGAAAGAATTCTCTGTAGTAACTCAGAGTCCTACTCATCTAGTGTCCCATCACTGGCCATTGGGGATATCTGCTAGTAGCAGTTTCAGATCAGCTACAATCTCATCATACCATCCCCTCCATAAACTTATCAAACTCCATCTTGAAGCCAGTTACCTTTTTTGCCTCCCTCTGCTCCCCTTGGAAGCAGGGCCGGTGCAAGGAAGTTTTGCGCCCTAGGCGCAACTTCCATCTTGCGCCACCCAGCCAACCCCCCCCCCTCCCCCAGCTACCCCTGCCCCCCCCCCCCCCCCCCCCCAGAGGAGCCCCGCCCCCCGCGCGGCGGCTAACCCAGCCCCCCCCACCCAGGGAGCCCCCCCTCCCGCAGCAGCTACCCTGCCGCCTCTGCAGCTAACCCCACCCAGGGAGCCCGCCTCCACGGCAGCTAAGCCCACCCACCCCTCTGCGGCAGCTAACCCCGCCTGGGGAGCCCCCCCGCGGAAGCTAACCCCGCCCAGGGAGCCCGCCCCAGCTCACCTCCGCTCTGCCTCCTCCGCTGAGCACGCTGGCGCCGCTCTAATTCTCCTCCCCTCCCAGGCTTGCAGCGCTGATTGGAGGAGAATTAGAGCGGGAGCTGTGTGCTCAGCGGAGGAGGCAGAGTGGAGGTGATCTGGGGCGGGGAGCAGTTCCCCTGTGCACCCCCCCCCCATTTTTGTGGGCGGCCCTCCCCGCGCCCCTCTGCCCCAGCTCACCTCCACTCCACCTCCTCGCCTGAGCGGGCTTTTAGGCGCCCTCGGCGGCCGCCTAGTTCGCCTAGTGGTTGCACTAGGCGCCCTCGGCGGCCGCCTAGTTCGCCTAGTGGTTGCACTGGCCCTGCTTGGAAGGCTATTCCAGAACTTCACCCCTGTGATGGATAGAAATCTACATCTAATTTCAAGCCTAAACTTGTTGATGGCCAGTTTATATAATTTGTTCTTGTGTCCATATTGGCACTTAACTTATGGCACTGATGTATTTATAGAGAGCAATCACATCTCCCCTCAGCCTTCTTTTGGTTAGGCTAAACAAGCCAAGCTCTTTGAGTCTCTTCTGATAAGGTCGGTTTTCCATTCCTTGGATCATCCTAGTAGCCCTTCTTTGCACGTGTTCCAGCTTGAATTCATCCTTTTTAAATATGGGTAACCAGAATTGCATACACTATTTCAGATGACATCCCACCAGTGCCTTGCATAAGGGTATTAAACACTTCCCTGTCTCTACTGGAAATACCTCACCTGATGCATCCTAGGACTGCATTAGCCTTTTTCAGAGCCACATCATATTGGTGGCTCATAATCATCCTGTGATCATCCAGTACACCCAGGTCTTTCTCCTCCTCTGTCACTTTCAACTGATACGTCACAAAAGCATAAGAACAGCCATACTGAATCTAGCCCAGTATCCTGTCTTCTGACAGTGGCCAATGCCAGGTGCCCCAGAGAGAATGAACGGAACAGTGATCAAGTGATCCATCTCCTGTTGGCCATTCCCAACTTCTGGAAAACAGAGGCTAGGGACGCGATCCCTGCCCATCCCAGCTAATAGCATTGATGGACCTATCCTCCATGAAATTATTTAGTTCTTTTTTGAACCCTGTTATAGTCTTGGCCTTCACAGCATCCTCTAACAAAGAGTTTCACAGGTTGACTGTGTGTTGTGTGAAGAAATGTGTGTGTTTTGTTTGTTTTAAACCTGCTGCCAATTAATTTCATTTGGTGACACACACACCCCAGTTCTTGTGTTATGAGAAGGAGTAAATAACACTTCCTTACTTATTTTCTCCACACCAGCCATGATTTTATAGACCTCTATCATATCTTCCCTTAGAAGTCTCTTTTCCAAGCTGAAAAGTCCCAGTCTTTTTCATCTCTCCTCATATGGAAGCTGTTCCATGTCTCTAGTCATTTTTGTTCCCCTTTTCTGTACCATTTCCAATTCCAATATATCTTTTTTGAGATGGGGCCACCAGATCTACATGCAGTATTCAAGATGTGGGTGTACCATGGATTTATATAGTGGCAATATGATATTTTCTGTCTTATTATCTATCCCTTTCCCAACATTCTGCTAGCTTTTTTGACTGCAGTGGATGTTTTCAGAGAACTATCCGCAACGATTCCAAGACATCCCCAGCTTATAGCAAAAATTCTTGTTGTTACTCCCTAAATGCAAGACTTTCCACTTTCCACTATTAATTTTCATCCCATTTCTATAACTCTAGTTTACAAGGTCATAAAATCATGACATTTTAAAGACAAATCAATTAGGGCAGACAGGATATTGGTTTAAGGTCCCATCTGAATGTTTTTTGTGCTTACGCAAACACACGCACACCCACACACTCATCGATATCCATGGAACATGATTGATATACCTTGGGAGGATGAAATGTTGAGTCTTTCCTGACAGGATCTGAACCTGTGGTATCCACATCACTTATCTTGTCTAGTGTGAATTTCAGCCAACTCAAGTCTCATCTGTCCCTCCCATTCTCAGCACAACTAATTGCTCAATCCTTAGGCACAGGTATTGAAACCAGGGTAGGCTAAGACCCCTCTAATTGTAATACTTTTCCATTTAGCCTTTAACTTTGCCCCCAATGTAAACAGTCCCAGTGTGTTCTAAAGAAAAAGTGTTCTGCTCAAATTAGAGGTACACAAAAGCAAGTGGGGCACCCCGTTGTGAGGGAATCTCAGGAGTACACTTACAAAAACACATTGTGCAAGACCTCCCTCCCCACAAAAGTCACCCCTCACTTCAGGTGTCAGATATTTAAATATAATAATCCATGTTTTAAAACTCCTGGATTCTGCTCCCTTGCTGGTACATTATTGACACCTCTGTTACTATGGAGATAAGAAATGGATTGTCTTCTCTCTAAATTTAAGTGCCAATTCCAAACAAATTTTGCTAATGAAAATCCTTGCAAAAACACCCCAAGAAAACCAAAAATAAAACAACTAACCCAACAAGCCTCCCACTTATGAACTTGTCTGTGGGTCATGAGTGTGGAGTTCATTTAGTTGTGATAGCGGAAGATTTAGGCCACCCCAACCTGCAAGTTGGCCAAATATCTGAGAACTTAATACATTTACCATGATAACTGTGAGGGAGATGGTTAGTCTTGACACACCGCTGAAAAAAGAAGCAGCTCCAACAGCAGCAAAGAGTCCCGGATCAATCCATGCCCCTTGTTCATTGGTCTGAACACCAAAAATGGACACAAGAATCAGGCCAACTATCCTGCCATATAAAGCTCCTGTGTACCTGCATGTGAGGAGAAGAAAATAAGGACACTACTTTTGCCAGACACATTATTTTCCAGGATTTTTTTCTTCTTCTCTGCTAACCCGGCATTTCATTCTGTCAGCTCTACTTTTGTAACATAGCACTGTTCCAGTAGCACCAGGGTCCTTGGAGTTATGGGGGCCCAACCAGCCAGGGGGAAAGTAGAGCCTGCTGGCCCCACAGGGCAGAGAGGAAGCTGGGATGAGGGACCCCTCCAGATGGGGCAACCCCAGGCATGAGCAGTCAACAAGGATGTGTGCAGAAGGCATGGGGGAATCACAGTGCTGGGGGAGGGAAGGCTCTAGAGAAGGAAGACATGGCAGCCACCCAGAGACAGAGCACAAAGGTAAAAGCATGGGCCACTTTGCATGGGGCAGGGAACTGGGGGGACAACAAGCAATGGTTGGGGGCAGGGAGAGCTGGGGGAGGCTAGTTCAGAGCTGGGGGTGGGGAAAAGGGGTTGGAGCAGAACTGGGTGAGTAGTTCAGAGCTGTTGAGGGTGGGGAAAGGGGACTGGAGCAGAGATTGAGGTATCTGAAGCAGAGTTAGGGGGAGGAGGAGAGGTGAGTGTGACGGGATCCCCCCGGGGTGCAGCCTGGGACAGTGGAACCACTGTGCCCCCTTAACTCTCTCCAGCCTGGGCTGTCTTTCACAATGCTTTGCTAGTGACAAGCAGCAAGCCCCTCCAGGCACTGTGATCCCTCAGCACAACAGCATGTGGAGCCCCACACCCAGCTAGATTGCATGAATGCTCCCAGAGCCACTCATGAATCACACAGAGAAAGGCACCAGACAAATCCCCCCAGCTCCCAGCACTGTACCCCAGGAATATACCGTCTTGCACTGCTCAAAACGGGCAGTGCAAATTTATTAATTGGTTCACCCCTTCAACAATGGAAAGTGGTTATACAGCAGCCTTTGTCAAATCTGAGCAGATTTACCACACACTTCAAGCAAACTCACTGGTAAAGATAAACAGTAAAACAAATTTACTGACTATAAAAGATAGATTTTAAGTGATAGGCAAAAAGTCAGAATTAGTTACCAAAAGAAATAAAATATAAGCACGCAGTCTAAACGCTCAACCCTATTAGACTGGGCAACATCTAGATTAAGCAGTTTTTCTCACCCCACTGGCTACTGCAGTCCTTACTATACAGGTTTCTTCCTTAAACCTGGACCAATCTCAACAGAGTCTTGTCTTCTTCTCAGTGTTTTGGTTGCTTGCAGCATAGGTGGGGGCAGGAGAAGGGCCCAGTATGTGTCTACTCTGTTTGTTTTATAGCCTCACTCCATGTGCTTGGAAAACGTAAGTCCAGGCATGTCTGGTGGCATTGCTGAGTTTCCAGGCAAGGTTGAGCAATTCCCCTGGTGTGGCCTCATGCAGGTGAGTCACTGCATTGTAGCTCCCTTGCTGGACAATGGTTGTTGATGGGTTGATTGATACCCCGCCTGGGTGTTGATTACTTTTCCTTTCTCTGTGCTCCCTAGGAAGGGTTCTGTCTCTTGTTAAGCTTCAAAACTCTGCCAGCTAACAAATGGGACAGTTTTCTTGGTCACTGACAACATCTCTCCTGCCCCCGATCCTGGGGGCATGTTGCCTTCTGCGGGAAAGGAGCTAGTCTCAGCCCCTCCCATACTTGAAAGTATGCTGCTTCCCTGTGTTACAGAATCGCAGGGATCCTCACCCACCTCAGTGGTTTCTGAGATCCCATCACCCTTCTCTGGGCTCCCCACAGGATACATTTCTCTATGCTCCCTAGAGTGGGGTCTGGTTCAACTTGCTGACAGCTAACTGGCAGGCATTACACCTCCATCTTTTCCTGATGTGGCGTTGCCTCCAGCTGCAATGCAGGATTTGGTCTCAACCACCCTCCCACTTGGAAGCATGTGACTTCCCCCGCTGCAGAAGAATCAAGGAGACTCTCTCTCCCATTCTCTCAGCAGTTCCTGAGACCTTACCTTTCCCTTGGGGGTCCCAGCATAAAACTCTTTTTTGTTGCAGGCAAATACCTTAACCTGAGCTACACGAAAAAAATCATTACCAAGGAGCAGGTCGACTAGGAGGTGTTTCTTTACCCCCATAGTCAAAACACCTTCCAAACCTTCCCACACCACATGGATTTTAGCTAGTGGTACCAGGAATCTGCTTTCACCCACCCCCACAATCTCTGCCATTTGGCCAGGTAATATGCTGGCCTTTGGGACCACACTCTGCTTTACCAGAGAGATCTGGGCACCTGTATCCTTCTGCCCCAAGTACTCCCTGCCATTAATTTCTACAACCTTAACATGCTCCATGTCTGGTTCTGCAGAGGCTAATCTCACAAAACCAATATGATAGGTTTCGATTGCCTGGGGGGGGGTGTCTGTGTTGAGGACAGCAGAACTAACATGAGTTATTGGTTGCCTGCTTCCTCCTAGCACAGGGCATTTATTCCTCAGGTGATCAATGGAATTACTCTGATAGCACCTTTTGGGCTCTTCTGCTTTTACAGGAGATTTGGGAGAAGGGTTAGAGGAATGGTTTGGGGGAGGTGAGTACCCAGCCTCCCAGCCATCCTCCCTCTTGCTAGGGATAAAATGGGAGCTTCCTTTCCCACCAGATTTAAACACCTCTTTCAGTGGTATGTTTTCAATAGATGCCTGGGTCTGTTCAAAGGGATCAGCAAGAGACGCCATCTCTTCCACAGACTTTACATCTTTGTCCCACAGACACCGCTTTACATCAGCCTAACATACGCCTAGGAAATGCTCTTGAGCAACAAGATCCAACATTCCCTCAAAGCTTGTACCATCTTTGCCCCTCACCCACTTTCCCATCAAATCTTTCATTTTGTTCACATATTCCTCATTACTCATACCAATATCCCTCTCAAGATTCCCAAATTTAACTCTATATATTTCAGGTTTTTTTGCAAAATAGTGTGTTTAAATTTACAATAGTCTGAAGCATCCTCAATAGGCATTTCATTGAATATATTCAGAGCTTTACCAGTTAATTTTGCAATCAGAGTAGGAACTCTCTTGGCATCAGGTTTCAGAGTAGCAGCCGTGTTAGTCTGTATCCGCAAAAAGAACAGGAGTACTTGTGGCACCTTAGAGACTAACAAATTTAAGTCTTTCTCTTGGCATCAGGGATCTCATGCACTGCACACAGCCTTTCAAAGGTAGGCAGATATTCATCAATATCATCTGTCTCCTTGTATGCAGGACATAAATGGTCCCATCTACAGATTTTTGGAGTGATGGGAATCGCTGGGCTCAGTGGGTTCTGGTTCTGCTTCTCTAGCAGGTCCAGTCGGTGCTTTCGCTCTCTTTCTTCCCGCTCTCTCTCTCTCTTTCTTCCAATTTCTCCTTTATCTCCAGTTCTTTCAGTTGCAAGAGTCTCTGGTGCTCCCTCTCCTTTTCTGCAATCTGTAGTCTAAAAAGCTCCAATTTTGCAATTGTTTCACTGCTTTCAGTCATTCTTCCTGTTTTTCTGTCCCTACTTCCCTTTCCCGAAATAAGCAAACAGAAAATAACAAACCAGTAGCCTCCTCCTGACTGTCCTTAGCCACCACACTTAAAGCCTTACTTAAAATCTTTACACCAGTGTATGAAAGGCAAATCTTGCTCAGTACAACGAGCTATGTATTTCATCCTGCTCACAGCGCCACTGTGATGGGATCCCCCCCACCCGGGGTGCAGCCTGGGACTGTAGGATCGCTGTGCCCCCTTAACTCTCTCCAGCCTGGACTCTCTCTCACAATGCCTTGCTAGTGACCAGCAGCAAGCCCCTCCAGGTGCTGTGATCCCTCAGCACAACAGTATGTGGAGCCCCACACCCAGCTAGATTGCATGAATGCTCCCAGAGCCACTCATGAATCATACCAGCCAAATCCCCCCAGCTTCCAGCACTGTACCCCAGGAATATACCATCTTGCACTGGTTGATTGATACCCCACCCAGGTGTTGGTTACTTTCCTTCCTGTTGCCTCTGGGGAGCTAATATCTGGCTGATTCTCCAATTTACAGCATGTTTTAGTGGCAGCCATACCACACAATTCTCATAACTTCACATGCATTAATGCTATACATATATGGGTAGATAAATGACTTTCAGCAGATCACAACCTTTCCCTTGATACGATCACGATTATATAAAAATGAGGAATATGGGGGTTCCAGGACACTCCCCCAAGGTATAGAATGTTGCAGTGGGTTGGAATAGAGCTAGAGGAGACCAAGTTGGGGTGCTGGGGAAGGGCAGCTCCAGGCACCAGGCGCAGAAGGGGAGCTAAACAGGAGCTGGAGAGTAATTGGATCAGGGCTGGGGGAGCGGAGGACTGGATTGAAGGAGGCTGGAGCAGAGGGTTGAGGGAGAGCTGTGGGGGGACAGGATCAGAACTGAAGGGGAGCAAGGGAGGCCCATGGGGCAAACTGTGGATTTATAGGGGAGTCATGAAGGGGCTGGAGGGAAGCTAGGCAGGAGTTGGGGGATGGGAGGGCTAGGTTGAGGCTATGGGGAATTAGACAGGAACTGGGAGTATCTAGGCAGCAGCTGGGGGTTGGAAGGGCTGGACTAAGGCAGGGAGGCAGAAGATCAAGGTAGGGATTAGAGGATGATGGGGATGGATTGAGGCTATGCGGGACCTCAAGGGGAGTGGATTTTGGAATTAGGAATGGGGCCCCAATCTATTCTTGCAACAGGTTCCTCTGGGGCCTTATTATGGCACTGATTTAGTGCCTATCACTATAGCCTCTAGTACAGTATTGAATTACCTACCAAATTTCCCTCACTTTGTATGAAGAGGCTAATATATCAACTGCTTTTCAAAAAGAAGGAGTATAGTATGATGCAATATTTAATGCTCTCCAACATTCAGTGATAATGGGATTTAGAGGCATACATTAAGGCCTGGTCGACACTAAGAAATTAGGTCAGTATAACTACATCACTCGGGGGTGTGAAAAATCCACACCCCTGAACAACACAGTTAAACCAACCTAATCCCCAGGACAGACAGCACTAGGTTGATGGGAAAATTCTCCTATTGACCTAGCTACCACCTCTTGGGGAGGTGGAGTACCTACACAGATGGGAGAACCCCTCCCATTGGCGTAGGTAGTGTCATCACCAAAGCGCTACAGCTGTGTAGCTGTGCCATTGCAGCATTTTAAAGGAAGACTACCTTCAGATGGCAAGGATTTGGGGTATATCAATCAGGCCAATCCAAATAACATCAATCTGCACTTCTACAGCTCCAGCCTAGAATCGCCAAATGGTTTTTAAAGCATTAAATATACCTCACAACAACCCTGTGAAGTAGGCACGGACAGTATTATGATGTCCATTTTACACATGGATAAATTGAAGTGAAGAAAGGTTACAATGAATCACTGATGAAGCCAGGAATAGAACCCAGGAGTCCGAGTCCCAGTCCCCTGCATTCAACAAAAGGCTACACTGCAGCACAAGAATTTTCAGTTCAGACAGCCTTGCCGTAAAGGTAAAATTGTTGGGTTTAGTCATAGTTTTTTATTTCTTGTAAAAGAAATTTAATTGACAAAGAATTCAAGCCTTGAATAAAGTCTTGGGCTTGTACAACTATTCCCCCTGTCAGAAGAGGCATTGTATTACCTGAAGTTAGAAGGATTTGGAGAGTATCATATCTCACTATTACTCAAATTTTTTCATTTACTTGTGTAACTGATATATTTTATTGATGTCTGGCGTCCAGATATATTGGGCCGTAGATGTCAGGTTACCAGTTCATAGACACAGGAATTGGCTGTTAGACGTATAGACTACCCGATATCTACTTAAGCAAAGATGTGCCAGGCTTTTAGCAACTACTTTCTAGTGAAAAATGATTTAGATATCAACTCTCAGAAAAAAAAGTGTTGGGCAAAGAAAAGCCAGAAGATTTCATATTACAAAACTATCTCAAACGTAGGGATTCCTTCAGCATCTAAGTGATATTACCTTGGTTATCCATTCTCCAGTCATCAACAATTCATCCTTTATAGGTTTACTACATCAGTATTCATACTACATCCTCCCACCATTATTGTAAGGATTCCGCACTAGTATGCGGCAACCTACTCACTGAAGACATTGGTCTGAACCACAAAGGCAAGACCTAGATGCAAACTTCCCCAACATTTAGACATATTCAGGTTGACGGTTTAAATTCAGTCCATTATGGACACAGGGTCCAAATGAAAAGTCTGAATCCAAACTACTGTTATAGAGATGAAACCAGTTTGAATGCTTGCTCCAAATGTAATGGGTTTCCAAGTTTAGGGATTTGGTTATGCCCCATCCATAGCTATATGGGGATGTTTTCTCCCTCATTTCCCTTCTGCAATTTTACCCCTCTATCCAACTAAACTCCTGCTGAGTGACCCTGTTCCAGCGAGGTGACCCAGTCAAAGCAATCACAGCATTCCTATTGGTAGCCTTCATTTTCCAACCCATACGACTGCCTTGCCAACATAGGCCTTTCCTATATATAACCTATTAATTTAGATATGCAATACTTACAACATGGGTATAACCAGGCCACTAGCAACAGCAGAACCCGCAGTCCAGCAAGAGAGAAGGAAATAAAATGCCAGAGCTGTAATGAGAGATGTATATCCAAACTCTTCGTGAGTCCCACGTCTGAACAAGTACATGATTCCTCGCTTACCATTCTCAGCTAGGAGTGCAGCTGCTTCAAGGGAGAGAGAAAAGAAAAGCAGGAGTACAGAAAGTTAAATAGATCCTTTAAAAATATCCACTAACAGTTCTTGTAACTTTCAACCTTGATTATGATTAAATAAAGTTCATAGTCAATAGGTTGAGTCTACAGTGCTAGTTGAGGTATACAAGACTTCAGGAAAATGAGAACCATTTGTGTTTACAGTCTGCAGACTGTGATATTATTCTTTTAGATGACCTAAATGGAGAGAAACAGTAGCCATTTAGCCAAGAAAAAGGAACTTCTTGGCTTCTCCCTTTATTAGTCTCTCTGATAGACTCTCTTTCCCTCCCCTATAAACCTCAGAAATGCTATAATTCACAAGCTTCCCAACTCACACATTTTAAATGGGGGACTCAGTTCTTCTGGCATGTCTCTGGAGAAGGAAAATAAAATCCACTTTAAAGAAAACCTACGTTGCTAAAGATATTTGGAGACCAAATTCAAATTACACAAACACAATTTATTTTTAGCCACCATTCAGCAGACTTCTCCTTACCTTCATTAAAGGTTTGATTGGAATATTTGACTCCATCTGGTCCTATCCACGCTGTGCCTGATGGACAACTATATTCCGAAATTTCTCTCTCAAATGGGCTTATGCTTAAAAATTAAAGGGAAAAGAATGATATTAAATGGATGAGTGTAATGCAGAGCATCTGTACAGAATATATTTATTGGACACTTCTGATAGATATCCCCCAGAAAGAATGCCCTTCTGTATCTTCTCTAGTAGCCCAATCCAACTCCCTTAAAGTTGGCCTTAGTTTATTAGTAGTCATGTCCCACTAGATATTCTCCTGCCACTGAAAAAGCTAAAGTTTCCAAAATTAAGTAGTCATGGGTTTCACTCTACAATGCTGGAGAAAAAAAATTCTATTTTAAAAATCCAGTGCCCAATCTGGTCATGACCTCATTACCAGGTGAGTATTATTGTAATACTGTAAAATATCATTAGCACACCAAATTGTTCCTAATAGATATTTCTCTCTGTGTAAGTCCAAATCACAGGGGCCCCAAGACCAGAGTGGAGTTTGTCATTTGGATTGTTTTTTGCAAGGAAGAGAGAAGAGCCATGTGCACCTGTTGGTACCAGGTATTTCATTTCATACAAACTTGTAACCAATGAGATGGGCCTGTCAGCATCCTAATTGCCTTCTTTGTACATAGCATTACTTTTGCCACCCTTCTTCCCTGTCTCTTTGTCCTTTTAGACTGTGTGTGTGTGTTCAGGCAGGGATTGTGTCTTTCTCTGGGTTTGGAAAGTACCCACCATATTTTTGCTTTTACCACAAACAATATGAACCCCATTTGTTCCACCAACAGCAGGAAATTGGTGGTGACTGGCCCACCTGATTCCTGCTCAGAACTCCAGAAGAAAGTGAAAACATCAAGATTCTAGCCAGAGCAGGAAAGTTTCTTACAGACCCCAAATTGGCAACCAAAGGAACACAGGATTCAACCCAATTTTTGATTTGCCTTCTTACATCAGTCTCACCCACACACACGAGATGAATTGCCAATTTTTTAAAAAGTGACACACACAATAGCCCAAGAAAAACAACCTTCTTGTCCCCATCTTGGGTCAGAAATTGTATAATTGGTCCATATACTCATCAGCAGCATCTCGTGTCTTTTCCTCTATCACTCCCATATTGCAAGAATGCCCTAACCCCTGGGCAATAGGATAGTCTGAGGTGGGTCTCTCTCAATCTGTCCTGCGGGAGCTGATCCATTTTGTATAAAATATTTGAATAGTAATTGGGCCAAAGAGAGAGAATCATTATGGCACTAACCTAAGATGTGGAAGACCCAAATTCAAGTCCCTGCTCCAATGGCTATTTAATTATTTATACACAGTGGAACAGCTTCAAGAGCAGAGATTGAGCACACTCTGTCCCAGACTATCCCATAGCCCAGTGATTAGTACACTCACCTGCACTGTGGGAGACCCCAGTTCAAATCCCTTCTCCACCTCAGGCTGAGGGGGGAAATGAACCTGAGTTTCCACATCCTGGGTAAGTGTGGTCCTCCTGGCCATTTTGTGAATTTAGCCCTTCTTTTAAAAAATTTAGCCCTGGAAATGAAATATTTTGTTTGACTGAAACTAATTTTTGTTGACTTTTTCAATTCAACAACATTTTCCAGAATTTTCCGTTTCAATTTGACCCAACTGCAATTTTGTTGTTGATGTTTTGATTTTTCAGGGTTGGTTAGTTTGTGGGTTTTTTCCAAACTGCCAGTGAACTGAAGAATCAGTTACTTGCCCAGCTCTAGCGTAGGCCAGGCCTAGATGTGTTATGATAGGATGTATTCTATGAAACAAAGGCATTGGGGAAAAAATTTTTGCTATTTTTGTGGAGACATTGAAGTTTATAAATTTTCCTCTGGAGCACTCAGTGAGGGGTCATATTACATTGGAATAGGTATATCCCAGATGATCAATACTAACTTCCTACAATTGCAAGGATCAATGGATCTCAGTCATACACTGTCTGCTTCTTTGTTTCTAAGAGAATCGTGAACAAGGCTTTAGTCCACTTTCATTCTTGTGGTTTATTATAGCCGGAAGCTTGGTGAGACTATGTATAGCCTGGTAGAGTTCATGACAACCTATTTACTTCTCTTTAAGTCTATCCAGTTTCACTGGGATGGAGTCTTTATGACTGGGCCTACTTAAGCTGCACCAGACTAAAAGTTGGCGCAAAGACTGACAGCTTCTAACACGGATCAGCTGGACAATTTTTGATTCAAAGACAGGCAAAAAGACATAAAATTCTTGTGATTTCAGATGCACTTTCTATACAACTTTAGAACAAAAACAGCTTTGTTTTGAAAAAATGACATTTTACAAGCAGTTAGCCCTTAAAATATAAAAAAAGATGTTGAGGTGAAGGAAAAGGCTTTTCCCTATAAAGATCCAAAGAGCTGTGATAAGTTTGCCAAATCCTGATATTAAGAAGGTGACAAGTTATGTTTTTTCAAAAGAAAAGAAAATCTTTACTACAGCACACAGCATTTATTCATGTTACATAGATCAAATGATACTCTGAAACTAGTGGTATACAAAGTAATATATGTCTGCATTTTTATTTGACTTTTGTAAGGCACTCAGAGTCCATTGTCATGAGTGGCAAATAAATCTTCATATAAAATTAATGCAATATAACATAATGTCCCGCCATCCTTTTCTACAGCGTAATTGTACCATATTCACCCTTGTAAACTGGTGAAAATTCAGAGATAAACTGTCATTTAACTTAAACTTTGTCCAAATCCCCTAGATTCTTCACAGATATTAGCTAGAAAGAGACATATACTTGGCTGCAAGATCAAAAGCAAACCTGAGGCGGCTCATCTATATAACATCTCTACAAAATTTACATACATTGGATTGTATCACTCTCACATGACACTTGTCATCTTAGGTCCCTACCTGAAACTTATTCCTTGCTGGTGTACCCTTCTACCATGCAAAGGCCTGTTCAAGTCAAGTGAGAGTCATATAGGTACAGATGGAACAAGTTGAAGGTTCAGTCCACTACAGTCTAATCCAAAGCCTACAAAAGTCTGTGGGATCTTTTAATGGGCTTTGAATCAGGCCCTTAAAGTGTAAGTTACTTGAGCCAGGGACCATGTGCTCCTATATGTTTGTACTGTACATGGTACAATGGAGACCCATTCTGATTGGGTATTCTGGCTGCTACCACAGTACTAACATTAATCCAATTACTTTGTCTCGCTTAATGGATCAGACACGGATAAGTAAAATGCACCCCATTCCAGAGGATCAGTGGAGGGCCCTCCACCCCTATAAACTCCAGGTAAGATCTTAAAGTAAGTCTTCTGCGTGGCTTAATGCATGGGCCCTCTGCCTTGCACCAAGTTCCACCCCACGCATTTCTTGCATAGTCAGGGCTGTTAGGTATCTGTTACCTTGTTCTACTTTGATTTATACGGTTTCTTGTTTCTGAAAAACTGATTTGTTCGCTTTTGTTATGTGTTTTGTCACAATTAATGGCGGGCTTTTGTCGTTGCTTTTTAAAATTAGGGACAAAGCAATGCAAGGGAAGTTTAAAAGAAAAAGGAAATTATTATGTAAGTTCACAACTAAATATGCCCCTTAGTAAATGGATTTGTTAGAAATTGAGAGCAAAAGAATTTTTCTTTACTTCTGAGTTCCTCGAACATAGATATTTATCATCTATAAACTTTAAAGCAAAATTATGACTTTAAACTTTAAAGCAAAACCTAAGATGAAAATGCACTTGTAGGCTCAAATATATGAATGGTCATACCCCAAGGCCTGCTCATTCATTTTTGCATTTGTCTTTAAGCATGCACTGGTTGTTGCATTCCCAACTGCCACATTGGAAAAGTTCACGTGCACAAATAAAATTCTGCATTTCAAACACCCAATTCTGGTGCATCTATATGAATGTTTATCCCTGGATGAACTAGAGACTAATGGAAATACTGTAGTAATAATTAGCATTTCACACCAAGATGCTTGTGCCATTCTCACCACTTACATTTCTGAACTGTTCTTCAGCTGCAAAGTTCTCAGACTCATGACTGGAGTGCAAGAAAAGAAATATGGCAAGTAGACTGTAACAGTGACGGTACACACCTGCAGGTGTAAAAAGTCAAAAACATCAACGTGTGAGGTAGAAACACAGAAGAAAACGTGAAGGATCTAGAATCACCAACACCAGCAGCTATCGCAAGAAGATTGTTCTGTGGGATGTGCCCAACATATCTTGAGAGATCAATCTTGTTTGACTACAATCACTTAAACCTCAATCCTGAAACATCCCACACACAGTCAGACCGCTGTGTCCACACCAAACCCTAGTGAAGTCAATGGGAGTCCACCCGTGACAGCCACCACCTTGGCCAACCCATAGGGATTGAACTGGAGATCGCCAGAGCTAAAAGCATGAGCTGAGCTGCTACAGCTTGAGTTAAAGAATCGAGGTTTTGTTGCTGGGGGCTATATCGACTCCTATTCTCTGTGGCTCGGCATGGAGGGGCACCTCTAAAACACACACACACACAGGTGGGTTATACCCCCAAACAGAGCTCCTTGCAGGACAGAGATCTTAGACTGAAAACTGAAACAGTGTAAACTGTGTTCTATGTACCTTTTGGGAAGAATCTAGCACACTTTGGGGCACCTTAAAATTATCTGTGCTCTTAAAAAGCCCCAAGCCCACCCCCCTAAAACCCTGTAATGTCTGGCTATTTCTATTTTACTACAGCATTACTTATTTGTAGACATGCTTACAGCACTCATCATCATAGTACACAGGTACTTATTTCTGCCTTGTAGCCTCATTGCTTAACCAATCCACTCAGGAGAGACTTCTGAAAGGTTTGAAAGACATTGTTCTGCTGCTCAGTGACAGAAAGCTCTTAAGTATCAGAGGGGTAGCCGTGTTAGTCTGGATCTGTAAAAAGCAACAGAGGGTCCTGTGGCACCTTTAAGACTAACAGATGTATTGGAGCATAAGCTTTCGTGGGTGAATGCCCACTTCGTCAGACGCAAGAAAGCTCTTAGACACTATAGTATTGATGGGCACCTTACAAATGCCTGAAATAAATTAGATAAAATATTGTACACAGACAAGTAGAGATTAGGTTTAGCCAGGCACTGTAATCCTTCATAAAGGAGAGCCCTCACCATCCACGTTCCTTCTGCTAGTTCTATTGTACCATTTGGAAGAGGATACTAAAAATAAAACTAATGAGGGTTTTTTCCCTGATTGTTTTGTTCTTGTTTAAAAGCACCCACAGTGTGTAAATCAGCAGTCTGAATGTATTCCAGCTACAGACAGGGCTAAGCCACAATGCTGAGATCTTGATCCTAACTGCCCCAAACCTCAAAACTGGTTGGATCTTAAACTATGATTTAGGTCCATCTATAGTTCTAGCCAAATGAAGGTAAAATTACTGTAAGGAAAGAGAGAAGATTTTTTTTTTTAATAGATCTGCCCTACAAGTAGGCAGGTGTCTATGAGGAAACTACTGAAACACACTGGGCCATTATAAAAGTGCCCTTTTTTAGGCATGAGTGAGACATTCAGACACACTCTGGAATGTAAGGTGGTACACTTAGGGAAGAAAAACCAAATGCACAAATGCAGAATGGGGGATAACTAGGTTGGCAGCAGCACTGGTGAGAAAGATCTGGGAGTTGTGGTGGATCACAACCTCAACATGAGTCAGCAATGCAATGCTGTTGCAAAAAAAGGAAATGCAATTTTAGTTTGCATTAACAGAGGCACAGGTTGCAAGTCACGGGAGGTGATAGTACTGCTCTGCTCGGCGCTAGTTAGGCCTCAGCTGGAGCACTGTGTCCAATTTTGGTCACCAATGTATAGAAAGGATGTGAAGAAACTGGAAAGGATGCAGAGGCAAGCAACAAGATGATCAAAAGGGATGGAATGCAAGCTATATGGGCAAAGGCTGAAGGAACTGGGTATGTTTAGTTTGGAAAAAAAGAGATTGAAGGGGAACATGATAGAGTTTTTCAAATGCTTGAAAGGTTGCCATAAAAAAATATGGAGAAAAGTTGTTCTCTCTTGCCACAGAGGGCAGGACAAGAGGCAGTGGGTTCAAACTACAGCATAGCAGATTTAGATTAAAACTTCCTAACTGTAAGAACAGTAGGACAATGGAACAGACAGCCCAGGGAGGTTGTAGAAGCTCCTTCACTGGAGGTTTTCAAAAGGAGGCTCGATAGCCATCTTTCTTGGATGGTTTAGACACAACAAATCCTGCATCTTGGCAGGGGTTTAGACTAGATGACCTTTGCAGTCCCTTCTAACCCTATGATTCTATAGTTATTAAAACACATTAGGTAGTACATTTATGGAAACCAAGGAGCTAAGATAAAACTGTATCTACAATTATAGCTGCTTGTCATGCAATTGTATCTCAAGTCTTTGTTTCTCTATATCGCAAACATAACAAGCTTATGGGCACAGCCCTGCTAAAACAGACAGACTGAACTGGGAATAGTTTGGGTCTTACAAAACATAAGTTGGGTTCTGTTTTTGCAAAATCAAAATCAGATATGGTTCAGATCCAGCTCAAACTTTATCCAAAGCCCCCAAAATTTGTACATGGGTGTTAGACAGGTGATTGGCTAGGGCATTCCAGTTGTGGCTGGTTTTCATTGCTAAGTCAAGCAACTTTAAAAAGTTTTGATAATTTAAAAAAAAATGTGCCATGAAACTGTTTACCCAACCTAGGGAAACTCTGAGCTTTTGGAACTTAATTAGACATCATGATAAAAATATAAAGAAAAGGAAAGATATGTTCCCTAGATTCCTGGCAAACACTATCCACATTGTGATTTCCTTTTTGCAGGGAAAGGTGATGAATTATGGAGAAGCAAATATGGCCATAGGTCAGGAGGGCACTTTATAAAGACAACCACCCCTATTCTAAGGGCTGGAGGTTAGGAATTCAGTTCCTGTTAAAGGGAAGGTGCTTAGGGTTATCTTGTGGGAGTGGGAGATACCACTGTGATTTCTTTCCAAGTTTAAATGCTGACTTGTTTATATAGAATTAGTCTTGGTTAATTAAAGTCATAGTGACATAGATTCTTTTAGTTTCCTGACTCTACATCATTTTAATAAATGCATTATATGGTTCCTTTCAGATCAAATCACTACTGCCCTGCCTTCCTTTGACCAAGACATAAGACAAGGCTTGTAACCTAAGAAGGACCTTCTAAAGCCAATAAAAAGGAAAGAATCTGAATAGGAGTTCACTTTGTTGCTTTCATTAACTTTGGTGAAGAACTTAGATAAAATGTTTATTTTAAAAAGTAAAGGGGGGGAAGGGATGAAATATTTAAACCATGGGAAATATGAAGCTTTAAGCAAAGCTATTTTAATAGCTAAAACATTTGAGCTATTTTGATGACTTCAGCAAGATGCTGAACGTGCTCAACTCCCATGGACTCAAACTGAGGACTATCTGTATTATTTTTAGGAATACTGTGCATGCCTCTGTGTGTTTATGCTGGGTTACTTGCTATGAGGTGAGATCAAAAGTGGATTTAGAGGAATCAAACAGGAAAGGCAAAACAATGACCTAGATAAGAAGCATCCCACAGTAGCCAGGTTAATTAGCTGTAAAGAAGCTGGAGCCAGCAAAGTTACACAGTGCTAAGATATCAAAAAAGAGAGATTAAAAAAACAACACTTGTCAGTTAAAGGATTCATGGCAGAAGGGGAGGGGTAGAAAGGGCTGTCCACAGATTGAGGCTAACACACAGGCTGACAGACACTTAGGCTACTCTACAGTTGGAGCTTGGGGTGCAATTCCCAGTTTGAGTAGCCATACTCGTGGCTACCTCTCATCAAGCTAGCGCACTAAAAATAGTAGTGTGGCAGCAGTAGCACAGGATCATCACCCTAAGTATGTACCCACAAGCTCCAGGTGGGTTTGTACTCAGGGCAGCTATCCCTGTACCACTGTTGCCACTGCTTGTGCTACCATGACTAGATTACTATTTGTACTAGCTCAATGTCTGCTCAAGCTGGGAATCACACCTCCAGCTCCAAGTCTAGACATAGCCACAGAAGGAGGGAGAAGCTGCAACAATCGTCTGCGTCTCGCAGCCAGAGATGGGGTAACTGGGCTGAAGGGAATTTACCAAAGCTTGCAAGAAAAGATTAAGATGTAAATAAGACCCATGCTTATAGGCTTTTCATTGTTTTATCCCTTTACTCTGCATACTATACATCTTTGGGTGAATAAATAATGCGCCATTTTGAAGAAGCTATTTGAGTCTCTTTAATCAGCTGCTGTCACAGGCCACCCCGAGGGTGAAAGGACTTATAGGTCCTAATCCCAGTTGGGCCTCTTGTGTTAGTGTATTTGGTCAAGAGGAGGTGGGGCTGCAGTCCAGAGATCCAGTCTAAGAGTGGTGATACTGTGTGGTTCCACACACAGTGAGGTGCAGGGCAAGCCAGCTCTGCCATGTGAGGTGTGCACTCAAGACTGACTGAGAGGGATCTAAAGCACAGCTCACCTGGTAATTGTGACACTCTGAATCCTGCTAGTGCTCAGTATCATATAGGATTGGCCCTTTAATGGTGTAAAATAAACTTTTTATTACATCTTGTTTTCTCTTTATATCTGACCCCAGATCTTGGCTAGTTGGTCCTAAATTTAAAACCCATCTTGTGTCCTGATAAAGTAATAGTCTGCTTTCGTACATGTAAATAGTTCATGCAAGGAGTTTGTAATGTATTTATGAGAAGGCAACAACAGGTGAAGCTGTAGAGGGAAGAAAGAGAAGCTTCCATAGCTCAATCTACAAATGATAAATGAATAGTTGCAATTCATGACGTTACGCAGCAAGGAAAAGCATGAAGCTTTCCGGACATAAAAAAAGCCCCTGGTTATTATTAGGCCTCAATGGCATTGCAATTCTGTTTGGAGCCTCCCATCAGCATAATTACTCTGTGAGAGGTGGAAGCTATGTCGGAGGGAGAGTGTCGCCCACCGACACAGCACCAGCGTGGACAGCGCTAAGGTTGATGTAACTTATGTTGCTCAGAGGGGGTGTCTTTTTCACACCCCTGAGCGACATAAGTTACATTGACTTAAGTGGTAGTGGAGACCAGCCCTTAAGCTTTAGAACAAGAACACCATCTCACTTTTGCCTCTTCTAAATGAGGTAAGTAAGTAAAGGAATACAAGAAATTCTGAAGTAAAACATCAGAGACTGATAAGGGGCAGGGGTTTCAAGAGGTTTATGGAACACATGGTTTAATGCCTCATTTAATTAAGTCTTTTCTACGCTACCATAACAATAATTAGCGTCCCCTTGGGGCACTCAACTACAATGGGGTTGTGAGCCAATCATGTTCTAAAACTTTGAAATTTGCCCAGGGCCACAGTATATTTTTTTTTATATATTTACTTATAATTATATATCCTGTTATAACAGAGGTGGATGCTGCCTATACCAATGGGGTACAACTGTTATAAATGGATACTCTCTACTCTGGTTGCAATTGTGTTGTAGGGCAGGACCTAATGTCAGTATAGCTCAAAAAGCATAGAAGAATTAAACCAGTAACCATTGTTCTCCTGTGACACCAATATCCTTTTGCTGTCTCAGAGCAGAGGTTGGCTGATAGGGTCATTTGGGCAGATGGGCAGGCAAGGATTTGCATGGGTGGGCTCAGTGCCCTTTAATAACATTTCCTCTTCAGAAGGGAGCCTGAACTCAGTAAATATACTGGCAAGTCGCCTAAGAGATGTCAACAGCATGAGGTTTTGATTTGCACACGTTTCTCTGAAGAAAAAAGTACAATAGGAATATTCAGGCACTTTAAAATATCTGAAAACCCTGCAAACTTCTGCAAAAAATGGAGAAAGAAAAATAATGGGAAGTGGGCATTCAGAAGATAAAACTGGTGGAGAAATCCAACTCAGAGTAATCTACAAATAAAGTACAGAAGAATATTCTAAACACTTCACCCTCTCCACCCCAAAGCCCCCTCTCCATGTCTTTCACCATAATTTTGAAATTGAAAATGATGGAAAGACACACATAGACATACACATGGAAACCTTTTAGGCTTGCACTACTTTTCTAGTTCTTATGGAAAAATCCTTCCCACAAACTGAAAACTGTACTCAATGGGAGACTAGATAGCTCCAAGGACTGTAAATAGGATAGATCCTTTCACATCTAGCCCAGGCTTCAATCCAGCTAAGAAGCAACATCTAAAAAGTTCTCAAAATTCATCCAAAGTTCTGAAGTCCTCTCCAACCCTTACGCCTCATGCATCTACCATTCCCCCAACAAACAGAGATCCTTCTTCATGGTGTGTCATGTTACTTGGATATGTCACAATCCTAAGGGGTATACACTCCCAATTGCCTTTTACGTTTTAAAGGTGCAGATGTAGCAGAGGGATCTAATTGATTCTTTTGCACCAAAGCAGGGGAATAGACTGACCCCACAAAATGACAAGTGGATTAGAGGGGAAACAGGCCTTCCAGACTGCCACCTGAAGATACCAAAGGCCAAGGAGGAGAACATGTCACCCCTCGATGAGGGCAGAGAGGATGGAGAGAGGATGCAAGCAACCATGCCTCTCCCAAATGCCAAGGTGGTCTGTCATTGCTGAGGAAGAATGAGGAGAAAGGAAATGTTTGGAACCTACTGGTGGCAACCATCCAAACACCAAAAATGAATGTGACAGCCATCAACCCAGCAAAACAGTTCTCCATACTGCTAAATAAATGTAGTATCATGAGAATGAAGGAATGGCTTGGGGCAGCACGGAAAGTAACATGGTAAGTGCTGTAAAAATAATAAATAATGAATAACAACAACAAATAAACACTGTACACTCCTACCCATGTACACACAGGCTGAAAATCCCTGTACAACATTTTGGGTCCCTTCTGCCCATTGCACATCAATTGTGCTAAATCGTGCACCAGAAAGTCACTTTTCCCTGTCATCTGCTGTTTCATCTAGCCACCCTGTGACTGGCCTTCACTCTTACTTGAACTATTTTAAACATGACTTCAATCTTTAATTGAGAAACACATTTACTTACAAGAACCAGCACAGATTCCAAGAGCTTGCTTGTTTTTCTGAGGGATTTTGTTTGAATTGAGCTAAAGAAACGCTCACGTAATTTATTAATCTTTATATTTAGGGAAACAAAGAGAGCTCCGAAAAGTCCTCCAAGTATTCCAAGGAAAATGGTTGGAATGAAAGCCAAGACACTCATATCCAGCAAGTTTTTAACCTGAATTGAAGGAGAAAAGAAAGACAGTACATTCTGAGAATTCTGCCAGTGATTTGAAATACAGCAGCTACTCTGCTAAGTGAAACATGATATAACAATGCAACAAATAAGCAAAATTTACTTTATAAGAAACAGATCTTTCCTTGCAGCTTAAGGAGTGCAGTTCTCAAATTTAGGGATGTTCCCATGAGGAGCCAAGAGCAGTCTCCTCAGAACCTTGCAGGATCAGAAAGTACGAGCCCAGGCAGCACATAGCTCCACCAGCCAGTTGTTTTGATTTTTAAAAAGATTGGAAAGGACTTGATCAAATCAGGCTGAAGGCTCAGTACTGCAGCTCCTTCTTGGGCCCCTCTTTCCCTGAGGGGAAGCAGTTGATCAGGCAGAAATCTTTGTGCTGCATCTCTTATTACTGAGAGAGCTCAGAACTTCAGAGTGTAATGCAGAAACTTACCTTGACTTCAGCAGGATTTCACTCACTGTACCTTAAACCACCTCATCATTCATAATCATTTATTAAGCTTCAATCTGCAACTATCTGTTTCAAAATCACTGAATAAACTGCAAGTAAAACTGGAGGTAGGGCTAATCTGTAACCGTTTATTAATACTGTGTATGACCTAGTTATTTGGACAGTTATTTTATACTTATATTGGAAATGTTTACTGTATGCATATGTTGGTTTATAGCAGGACTGTTAGGAAACCAGCAGGAAGGCAACACAATGTGATCTAGACCAGTAACATCCTAGTAAACATGGCAGGGGTCATTAAGAATCAATACCGGGCTATTAAGCTATGTAAATGCTACTTCCTTTGCTCCAACCCAAGGTTACACTGCTGTTTTGCCAGGGCTGGGAACAGACAGATCAGAAGGACACAAACCAGTTAAAAGGTGACTCACAAGAAGAGTGGGCAGGGGCAGTTGTCAGGGGCTGCAAAGGGGGTTTGAAGTAATAAGGTCTTCCTTATCTTCCAGGGGATGGCAAGCCTCAAGTGAGATAGATGTGTATAGACGTAACTGTTTTAAAACCCTTTTTGTCTTATGCTTTGTTCCTACTGTTAAGATTAAACAATACTTAGTTTTAAGAAAGATGCCTGGTCACTGTATTAACCACTGGGCAAATCACCTATGAGGAAAGACATGCAGGGGCTAAACCCAACTGGGACTGCTAAGTACTCACTGTTGGTACACAGGATGCTGTAGCCCTGGGACAAGGTCTAAGAGTGGGGGAATTATGGGATTCCAACTCAGAAAAAATGAAGACAAGAGGCCTGACACCTAACGGGGGTGCACTCGGAAAGACTATGGAGGGGACAAACACCGTCTCCAAACATTTGCACAGACACAGAGTACTGTGACACATGCTATCTGTCCATGGTGTACAACCCTGGCATTATTTTCAGCAACTGCTACAACGAAATCATCCTCTTTATAACAATGACCTGTCTACAGACCTAACTGGTTAAATAGGTAGTATAAAAAAATTAAATATAGCGGGCAGTTGCTAAATCTGAAATATCAAGAATTCTATTCTGTTCAGTTTCTCACACCATCCTCAGCACTATAGTATCTGAGTGCCTTCCAAGACTGCATTAAGTTATGTGACTAACATCAGTCATGTGTGGTTCTCTCTTTCTGCCTCCCTTTCCCTGGGAGAAATTGCATGAGGACTATTGTTTTAATATATTATATGTACGCTGTGCGTTTGTATTAGCAAAGGCAAGGTCAAGCACATAGGCCTTGCATTTGGAACAAAAAGCGGCTAAGTGTATTGGTGGATCTTAGTTCCTGTGACAGTTCGAGCTGCAATCTGAGACCAGCCCACAAGAGAGATCTGTCGCCTGCCCCAATGAGCTTCACACTTGTAAATAACCCAGTGGTCCAAGTAACAATAAATAAAGTCAAGCTTCCTAAAAATCTTGAGCACTGCAGAATCACATGGAGCTGCCATGCAATAAATTCCTCTTGTAACATTATCCTGGGTAGAGTGAAACTGAGGAAAATAAATATTTTTCTTGAGAAACATAACCCACAAGCTTTCAATTCAGAGTTTATTCACTATAAACTGTGTTGGTTAATGCCACAAACATGAAAGAAGTGAAATTTCCCCTGAGCCCCAAACTAACTGAAGTGAAAATATTTCTGATTATCTGTACCATCTGGACAGCCAAAACCTATAGAACACCAGCAGAAGTCATGTGCTGGTAATTCTATCCAGTTTTTCCTCTGACACTAAAAGAAGATGGAAAAGGCCAGCATCCACTGCCTTTTTCTGAAGATGTCCTAATATGAGCTTGTAAAGGGCTACAAATACTAAAAACAGAGGTCATTCTCATGTTTTGCCCTCTTGTGTGTTTTTGTTACAGAGAGGTGTTCTCCTTTTGTGTTGGGTCAACCTCCAGTTTGTTTTCACAACTGCTATGTATATTTATATACTTTTCCAGTACCGTATGGCAGAATGAGACATTTTCCACTGCAGGTCATGATAACTAGTTTGAGTGGGGTATTGAATTCACAGAACACAACAGTACAAATGTTACAATTCAGGACAGAAAATGTCAAGGAATTAAAAAACAGAGTGGTATTGACATCTGTGAAAAGACATGCACAAGGCAGAGGTATTAAAATGTGTCAGTGTGAAAGAAGACTGGGAAATTCTAAAAGATGCTCTAACTAGAAACCAGGAGACTTCAGTACCTCTATAAAAGGAGTGGCTATTGTGATTTCATGAGGAACAGCTTAGAAACAAAAAAAAAAAGTTTCCAGAAATGCAAAAGGAAGTTGGTAACTAAACAAGCATGCTGAAGTTAATAAAAGCCTGCAGCGATAAGGGGTACCAGATACAGTAAGTTAGATGCAAGTCTAATGTGATGTGGAAGCAGAAGTGCCCAATATAATTTTGTACAGAACATGCAGAGTCAGCATAGCATGGAGCATGAAAGTAAGAATCATCTCTACACAACCAGGAATACTGCCTCAGTTGCGTGCACTACATTACCAGAAACGCAGAGACAAACTGGAGAGAATTAGAGAAAAGCAATGAAAAATTATCGGGGCCAGTGAAGTCTACTTATGGTTAAAAGACAGGGAACAAAGGGTAGGAATAAATGGTAAATTTTCAGAATGGAGAGGGCAGGGCCAGCTCTAGCTTTTTTGCTGCCCCAAGCAAAAAATAAAAATAAATTAAGAAAAAGGGCGGCCGGACTGCCGAAGCAAAAAAAAAAAAA